AGGTGATTGACCAGAGCAGACCACCATCTGTAAACTAAATTGCAAAGAGACAGAATAAAACCTAAATATTTTTATGAAGAATAACTTTACCATCTCTGAACATCAGAAAACACTACTCCTATAGGTCTGCTACAGTATAAAAAAAATCTTCATAAGTGATTTTGTTTTCAAAAGGTTTTCATTCACAAGGTCTTGGTTGATATGCACACTTAATCTACTCCTAGTTAAAATGTCTAAAAAACATTTATATCATCCATCCATCCATTTTCTAAACATGCTTCTTATGAACAGGGTCACAGGGGACCTGGTGGCTATCTCCAGCAGTCTACGGGCGAGAGGCGGGGTATACTCTGGACTGGTCGCCAGTCCATGGCAGGGCAACACAAAAACACACAGGACAAACAATCATGCACACACCCATTCACACCTAAGGGCAATTTAGAGAGACCAATTAACCTAACAGTCATGTTTTTGGACTGTAGGAGAAAACTGGAGAACCCGGAGAGAATCCACACATGCACAGGGAGAACGTGCAAACTCCATGCAGAGAGACCCCCGGGCCGAGTAGAACCGAGTGCTACCAACTGTGCCACTGTGCAGACCAATCCTATCATGCAAAATTCAGCCTTTAAATGAATTTATCACTAATTACATAGGGCCAAAGCGGCGACGGTGGTAGCAGTTCTTTCTGTAACCAGTGGGTTGCCGGTTCAAACCCCCACTCTCTCTGCCTCAGTCGTTGTGTCCTTGGGCAAGACACTTGACCTGCCTTGCCTGCTGATGGTGGTCAGAGGGCTCAGTGGCGCTGTTTGTATGATAGCCTCACTTCTGTCAGTCTGCCCAAGGGCAACTGTGGCTACAATGTAGCTGTCAGTGTGTGAATGGGAGGATGAATGGGTGGATGACTGATTGTGGTGTTGATAAAGTGCTCTACAATTACAGGTAATTTAATATATAGTTCTGAAAGGTTTTTACTTCAAGGTTTTAGATTGTAACATTTACAATTAACTTGACTGGATTGTTTAATAACTTGGTTGGAATCGGAAAGTATGTAGCTTAATTGACTTTGTCCATATGATCGAATTGTGCCGGATTGATTTGACTACATAATTCTATGAATTGCATCTATTTGTCTTGCAAAGTGGCTTGAGATGACAATTGTTGTGAAATTGTGTTAAAAAAAATAAAGTGAACCGAATTCAGCTAAATAAAATAACTTTTTGATTTAAATTTTCTCCCTGAAAAGTTTTCTTTACTGAGTTGTGAGTGGTTTAGTTCTCTTGGTATTTTTATTTTATTTTTCAATGTGATATGTTTTCACATTACATGTAATGCTATGTGCATTGGAATCGATTCAACACTCACCAGACTTTATTGGACAAGTTTGAAAATCAACCATTCTGCTTGAATACAAGCCTGCAAGATCCAAACAGATCAATAGGAGAGGCGTGAAACTTAACATGCACCAAAACAAACTTAAAGTGACTTTACTCAGTTGTTAAGTCACAGATGTTGCATAGGTTACCACATAAATAAAGTACATCCCTTTTTGTTGAATAAATGATGACAAGAAGGAGTCCATGGTATGTGATTTTCTACATTTGAGGTTTGATGTAAACTATTTAACAGCCTGGTACGGGCCTGATCATTTATACATTAAAACCTTAGAATTTACCGTGACTCAATGCAGTGTATGTTTCAGTAATTAATTAGTTTTACTCTGAATAGTGCAGCACTGTGTTTACAAAATCAGTGTCAAAATCTATAGAAATCTCTACTTATTTATGTTGCAATAGCAGTATCAATATAGAAGCAAAGATCTTCATAGTCAGTATTTAAATATGCTTGTTATTGTCAATATTTTTTAAACTACACAGTACTCTTAAGGCAAACATGCTTTTTTAAGAGAGTGATTCTATCTCCCACTGTACTGTGAACATGCAAACCGAAATTCATTGAAACATTCTGGTGTATTTTCCTATACAGTATAACTAGCAACAACATTATCTTACAACTTATAGAAACTGTTTATGGGCAAAAACCACCTAACTTTGAAAATGGTGAAACTGTTACCTTGTTAGATTGTTATATGGAAAAAACATATAAGTGTGATTTCTGTTCTGTAAGTTTCATGTTTCACCTCTAGCATGAGGCACGCTAGTTGTGTTTCCTTCAAATTAAGCACCAAACATTTAGCTCTTTAAATTGCCAATTTGGAAATAAAGACCAATAAATATTGCAAATAAAGATCTAATGATTTTGTCTTTCAAAAGAATAAGCTATATTATTTACTTGGTATTAATCAGCACTGAATATGTGCATGGATGGTTATTGCACATTATGGATCCAGGTTTGCTTAGTGTGAAGCCACTCCTACTGTTATTTTATTGCATGAATCTACAAAATGTGAGAAAACACCCACATGCTTTTTAGTGCCCATAACGAACTCTATTTTTTTCTTTTTATCACCAGCAAAATCAACTGCTTTGAAAGATGTTTGAAAGAAGTTTCCCACGATGCTTACACAATGCAATGTTTTAATAATCAGTGCCATACAGCAACGTTATAAAGCTATTTTGTCATTAGGCGCTGGTGCTGCTACTCCTGCTGTTGTTGTTTTGTTGTTGTGAATATAAACAGTGTAATTTTAGGGCATAAATCTGCAAGCCGTTTATTTGGTTTCAACTCATCACTAAAGAAGAGAATATTTGGGTTACAGCTGCATTTATATGACAGATGATGACAGAGGAGGAAGGGTGTTTTCAAACTGTAAAGTAGATAGGTGTAAATGGATATAGAACAATGTAAGCGGTGACACTCATTACTCCTTCTGTAACCAAGAGTGATTAGGAATGCTACACATAACTAAGTTGTCTTCTTAATCTCATTGTATTCTGTCAGATTAAATTTGGAGACTAATAAACATTTTTATGACTAATTAATCTTTTACACCTCGCCAACTCCTCTGTCTCTTCTGATTTTAATTGGTCAAAATAATCATGCAAAAGCTAATTAGCATGGTTAGATGTGCTGTAAAGCCACCCGAGGCCCATGAGGGGATTTGAAAAGCTTTTGTTTTTGATTCAAACAGAAAATTAGTCAGGAGGGTTGAGCGCGTGATGCTGAAGCAAAGTGAAACACAATGCAAAGGAGTGTGTTCTTTTATTATAATCTTTACAGGACTGACAGCCATATTCACTCACAAAGCAAATGAGCACTGCATGTATATACCTGTATGGCAGGTGGCTGCCAGGCAGATCTGAGCAACTTCCTGAAGATGCAAAGTAAAAAGGCTATTTACTAACACAAAGATAAATGAACATGCAGGAAACGTCGTGAAGAAATTGTTTCAGGTTTTAAACTGACGTATATTGGTTGAGATTTTCTTAAAGATGAAATAGTAGGCTTTTTGTTTAGAAATGTTATAAACAATTATGACAAGTAACAATGAAAACAACAATCTTTCAATGCATTACATGCATACTTTCCCTTCCTGTTATGATTTGGGGTTGTTTGGTTTTTGGTTTCTGGCTTTTTCTTATGTTTTTCACAGTTAAGATTTTGAATCATGCTTCTGTTATTTTCCTGGTCATGCTTTAACTTTGTTGTCTTGTTCATGTTTTGTCAAGTTTGTTTTTTGGATCTGGTTATGCTTTTGCTTCATGTTTTTTCTAGTTTCTGTTAGTTTGTGTTCAAGAGTCTCTGTTTTGCTCCAGTCACGTTTTGTTCTGTTAAGTTTATTCGGATCACCTGCTTCAAATTAATCTGTCTCCTTGCTCCACCTGGTTCTCATGCTCATGTCTTGTTCTCATGCTCATGTCTTGTTCGCAAACCAAGTCTTGTCTTTTTGACCATGCCATGCCTGTCTTGCCTGCCTGTTTGTTTTGTTCCTGCCTCCTGTAGTGTGTGAGTTTTCGTAATTAAACCTTTTTTCCCTTACCATCACGATGCCTGCTCGCCTGCATTCTGGGGTCCAATATCAAGTAAACCGTAACACTTCCGGCACAATTGCTATTTCAAGTCTTTTGGGGTATATCTCTTACCAGAGTTGCACATGACAGTGACTGTAATTTTTGTCAATTTTTTTGCAAAAAGCTCAAACTCTTTGATTGCATGGCGTGTCTACAATTGAAAATCTTGGCACATTCTTTCAATTGGATTAAGATATAGACTTTGACTTGGCCATTTTAAAACACAGAAATGCTTTAAATTAACCTGTGTCATTGTAGCTCTGGGGTAGTTGTCCTGCCTGTAGGTGAAACCCCTTCTCAAGACCTTAGCAGCCTATAAGAGGTTTTCTTCTGTATTTAGCTCCATTCTTCTTCTCCTCAACTCTGACCAGCTTCCCTCCCCCTGCTGAAAAAGACATCCTTACAACCGGATGCTGCAAGTGTCATGGTGGTGATGGTCTTTCAGGGTAATTTGCAATGTTGGTTTAAACCACACAAAGGCTCAAACCTATTTAACAGAATGTCTGATGTAAATGAGTCAGTGTCCTACCAATCAAGTTTTCTTCCTGTTTATCTGGAAATCTGCAAACCGAGCATTTTCTGCCAAGACTGTTTCAGTCATCTTTTGATGAAGTGTTGCTGGCACAAAGGCTATAGTTAAGTAATCTTTGCAGTGTGCATTCATGAAAGTTTTCACAACATATTACCATTAATCCGCTTTGCCTGCAGAGTGGTGCACATCTATTTCTGATAAATATTTAGAGCAAGCCCTTAGAAAATGTTTCAATATTTAAAAAATCAGAATTTTCCTTATCCATTTAGATAACGTTTTTCTAATATTTTTCCAGTGTTACAACATTTTGGCATGTAGTTTTGTTTTAAAAACTATTCATTATATAAAGAATGATGATAAACAGAAGCCAATGTTTAACATTTACCTTTCTGCCATGACTTATCAATTCTCTATTTTAATACAGTTACAAAGAAAAAAAAAAAAAACTGTATGCAAATGTTTAAGGCTCCATTTAGCATAAATAAATTTTTCTATTGGGCTGCACGATGGCACAGTTGGTAGTACTGTTGCCTTGCAACAAGAAGGTCCTGGGTTCAATTCCTGGCCGGCAGTCTTTCTGCATGGAGTTTGCATGTTCTCCCAGTGCATGCGTGGGTTCAAAGACATGTCTGTTAGGTTAATTGGTCTCTCTAAATTGCCCTTAGGTGTGTGCATGGTTGTTTGTGTGTTGCCCTGCGATGGACTGGCGACCTGTCCAGGGTGTACCCTGCCTCTCGCCCATAGACTGCTGGAGATAGGCACCAGCTTCCCCGTGACCCACTATGGAATAAGCGGTAGAAACTGACATTTTTCTATTTTAGGAAGACTTTCTAAATTTCTTCATTTAGTTCTTCCTAAAAACATTTGGTGATGTTGTCTTTTCATTTTTGTACATGCTAACTGGTATTTGTGCAACAAGCAGGAAAACTATTAGACACAGCTTGTAATATTCCATTTTGGCATTACTGATCATTTCCATTGTGAATATCGATTGTGTTGTAATTGCTTCACTTCTTAAAGTCTATTTCTATTGACAGTCTTAATATTCACTGTACATATACAACTGCTTTAAAATGTAGAATTTCTTATCAACTCTGTTATGATCACAATGAGTGAGGAAGGAAAAAAAAAAAAAATTATACAATATTACAGCAGATGTGTCAGCAAAAAAGTTGGTTGACTACTTTCCCACAACAAGTTCAAGTTGCAGACAGCATAATTGCAGTGTGTGGAACATCACTATGGTAATTTCTTGTCTTTTCTACTCTGGCTCATTTTAACGACCATCTCTGGGTCCTGCTCTCTGGTACTGGGTTCTCTTTGCTCAGGCCCATGATGTCTTTATTCTTCCTAGCCTTTTGCGTCTCAGTGCAACAGCACTGAAGAGACCCGTGCAAAAGGAAGTGAAGCAACCACAAAGACGTGTAAGAGCCGCTTGAAAACACTAACACTGTGGTTCACTGACCTCAGAGGAAGGAAAGAGACAAAAACACCAAGTGGTAGATGCAGAAACAAAGACAACGAAAGAAAGTGACTGTTTTGTAGGTGGTCAGAGGGTCTAAATGTCAGGGGGTGACAGTTTGGAGCATGAATGTCAAACTAGAGCCGAGATAATATATTATCTTGCACAAATACATCTGTGTCTCTCATGCAGAACTATAACCATAACACTGTACACAGTGCAACACTGAGTGAATAAATGTTTTAAAACTTTTGAACAGCAGATTAAATAAAGTTAAACTGCTATGTGATGTGAAGTCTAAACTAAGCAGTAAAAATCTAATACCTGCTGCCAAAACATTTGATTCTAAGCAAATCAAATTAGTAGCTTTAAAACAGTTTTGGTAAATGAAGCTTTATCTGTGAGTCAGGGGCATTAGCAGCTCCAGTTTGAGTTGCCTTGGGCTCTGTAATTAACTTCGCTCAAGCGCAGCTAAACATTTTTGACATTTTTCCTAGTCCAGAATTAACTGTCACAGCAGAGGGAGAAAGTAACCATCTTGTCACATTGAGTTTCTCACAGCCTGGATCTTGTTTCAAGTAACGTTTCATGATGAACAAAAGTTTGAGTGTACACAACAATGGCAGTCTTTGGTTTTTGCCATTCTATATTACATTAGACCACAGTCGCCTGTTCAATCTGAAAATGCAGAAAATTAAAGTACATTTATTTATTATCACTTGTGATAGACTCACAACCACCTAAACGTTTTTATTAATTAAATGTAACAATAATTTTTTTTGCTCATTTTAAATATTCCTGTAGTTGAGGGATGCCCAAGTCCAGCCCTGCAGAACTACTGTCCTGCAACTTTTAGGTGCATCCCTTATCTAACGCATCTGATTCAAATGAATGGCTTGTTACCAGGGTTCTGCAGAGATAAATGACATTCTGATGGAGGGAATTCAGCCATTTGATTTATTTGAGTTGGTGAAGGGAAAGTTGCAGGATAGTAGCTGACGAAGACTAGACTTGGTCACCCCTGCTCTAGTTTTTCTTTCCTCCGTTTGATTCCCTTCAGTGGCAATTCTGTGTCATCTTGGTCATTTTCCCTTATCTTGTCTAGCCTTGAATCCATCTTGGATGCATCCTGGTCTGCAAGCACTCACCCACACACATAGGGTGTACAAAGCAGGAGGAATAAGAGGGCTGATGTGTTTGGAAAGGCCCAGGGTAGGGTGCATTAACTATGTCGCCTACAGAGTGTCAGCTCCCATACTATCCAGAAACTGCCAAGGTTACAAGAATTATTCTTGTATCTGCATAAATACACACTTTGATATGAAATATTTCATGAAGAAGTAACTTCAGTTTCAAAGAAGCAGATGATGCCACAAAAATGTGTGCTTTTATTGAAAATGATAATAACCTGAAAGGAACTGCAGTACCAACCAATAGCACAAAAGCCTATGTTTTAAAAACATAAGAGCAAAACATTAAATAAAAATACTTTTTTTTAGTGCATTTCAACTTTATATTTAAAATAATATTGTGATTCATGTGTGCTTTCATTTGTGGAGGTTCTTTAAATTAGCCTTACTTTTTTAAAATTATTTCATGCAATATAGAAAATATTACTTATTTTTTGGAATGACTGTTCATTAAACCTCACCTCTCTTTTTAAATATTTATTTGTTCAAGCAGTACGCAATACAAAAACAATTTTCTGTCACAAATATTTCTTGTTGAGTAGATGGTGAAATGAAAGCAGCCAGGAAACTGCAAAGGAAAAAGCAGTTTCTATTTAACCAGCCCAGTTGCACAAGAGGGTTTCCAGACTATTCAAGAGCCCTTTAATGATGGTAGGGTTGAGCTTAGACATTGCCCACGCAAATTACTCATAATTTCTATAAAAACTATTTCTGTTAAGTTTCATTTATTGGGAAGACTGGGTTTTCAGTCATTTCACTGTGTTGGATGGTCACAATGAGTCGAGAGGTTACAAAAACCACACAACTTAATGTCAGACAAGCACAAATGAAATACCACCAAGAAAAGTCACGGGTCAATACGGTGCAAATTTCCCCCTGATGATCATGCATCAAACCCATTACCACATGTTAGCATTTTAGTCGTTCACAGACCATTACACGACTGGTGTAATTATACCACATATTCCATATATTACTTTTAATGAAAGAAGGCCAATTATAGTCTTTCACTATGTCTTTCTCTGTGTTAGCTGATGCCTCCATAAAAGTGTGTGATTAAATTACTCAGGGGAAAGTGCTTATATTTTATATGACAACGCCTGATGCATCGCTCAGCAACAAATTCCCCAACCAGCAGTAAATCTTCTAACAGGCTCTGACTGTGGACAGGTGGGTCTAAATGGCTAAGAAAGACAGAAAGACGAGTCCAAATTTGAAATTTATGCTCTAACACTTTGTCCATTCCTATTGATATAGAGCCCACTTCACTCCCCAATCTGACAGGGGCTTTAGCATGACCATTACTTTCTTTTTAAAGCATTTTCCATTTATTTTAAGCTGTCAAGTTTCGGGAAGAGCACAACTTGGCATGCTGAAACAGAACTGCATCTTAATGCTGGAAAAGCTTTCATTACACATGAACACTTCCAGTTTGACATTTCACCTCACTTTTTTTCTCTGTGTTCTTTTAAAATATCCTTGCCAGACCCTTTGTCAAGCCAAAATAACTTCCTATTTCAGAATATTAATGCTTTTATGACCTTTCATGTTTTGTCTGTTTGCCTGTAAAACATTTTTGACTTTAATGAGAACATCAAGTCATTTCAAGTAAAGACGCTCAAGTCCAAGTGAAGTCACAAGCAGTGGTGGAGAGAGAAATGTTTCATTCTGGTGGCCAGACTGAGACCATTGCTCACTGAAGGGTGGCCAAAACCTGATTTTAGGTTTCTTTTGTGGCACTAGTGGCCTTCATCTTTATTGTTATTTAAAAGTAGGGTAAAGAGAGGGGGAAGACATGCAGCACAGGTCGCCGGGATTGGGACAAAGGTTGAATTTCTTCAGCTGCCACAGGAAGAACATTCTCTGCTGGGCTTTCTTGATGAGGGAGCTGATGTTTGGCTCCCACTTGAGGTCCTGGGAGATGATGGTTCCCAGGAAGCGGAAAGATTCCACAGTGTCAATTGTGGAGTCACAGA